CCTCCACCTCGCCTAACCCCCCTGCATCCCAACCAGTCCCCCTGCATCCCCACCAGCCCCCCTGCACCCTGCCAGGGACCCCCCCACACCCCAGCCAGCCCTCCAGTGTGGGGACACATACGTGTGGATGGCCCTGCAGATCTCCTCGGCACTGCGGCCCGCCTTGCGCAGGGTGATGGCCAGGTTCTTGGCCCGGTTGGCCTCCAGCAGCGTCACCTTGCTGGCCACCTTCTGCGACGCCTTGTTCTTGGCACAGACGAGGTCGAGGGACGGACCCTGCGCCTTGGTCTTGAAGAGCTCCTCGAAGCGCTCCAGGTCAAGGTCCTGGTGGGATGAGGCAGGGGGGCTCAGAGGTGGCAGCAGCGGGACCCACCCCCCCCCAGGTCCCGGCTTCACCTCCAGCACCCGCTCATCGTCCAGCTCGCTGAACACTGTCCCACTGATCTGGTTGGGCTTCAGCGCCGTCCAGTTGAAGACGGGCAGTCGGAACTTGGTCTTGATAGGCTTCTTGATCTGGAAGGCTGCCAGCAGGGCAGGAGCCGGCTCAGCCCCCCGCTGGGGCAGGGGGACACAGCCTGCTGCATCAGCCCCAAGCTGTCACCATCCCCTGGGGCACCCCATCCCCATGCCACATGGTCCTTGCACCTGTCCCTGGGCCATTACAACCCCAACACCCTAGTGCCTGCAACCCTTCCCCTTTCTCTGTCCCCTGTCTCCACACCCTCCCTGTCCCCATCCCCACGATCCTTATGCCCTCTCTGTCCCCATGCTCCCTGCACTGTCCTGTCCCTGCACCCTCCCCATCCCTGTCCACATGGTCTCCACACCCTCCCTGTCCCAAGGGACCCGATGCCCTTCCTGTCCCCACGGTCCCTGCACCCTCTCTGTCCCCATCCCTGCACCCTCTCTGTCCCCATCCCCACAATCCCCACACCCTCCTTGTACCTGTCCCCATGCTCCCTGCACTGTCCCCATCCCCATGGTCCCCGCACCCTCCCTGTCCCCATCCCCACAGTCCCCATGCCCTCCCTGTCCCCATGGTCCCCACAGTCCCCACACCCTCTCTGTCCCTATCCCCACAGTCCTATCACCGTCCCTGTTCCCATGGTACCCCTGCCCTCCCCCCCCATCCCCCGTCCCCATCCTCATGGTCCACACACCCTCCCTGTCCCCATGGCCCCTGCACCCTCTCTGTCCCCATCCCCATGTTCCCTATGGACCCTGTCCCCTTCCTGTCCTTGTCCCCACAGTCCCTGCACCATCCCTGTGGTCCCTGCACACCCCTTGTCCCCATCCCCATGGTCCCTGCCCCCTCTCTGGCCCTGTCCCCATGCCATCCCTGTCCCCACAGTCCCTGCACCCTCCACACCTACCCGAGAGCCCGACGGTGAGGGCGATGGAAGGCGAAGCCCCGGGCAGCGGCGGGGCTGGGGGGCACTTGCCTGCAGAGGACGGAGAGGGTGAGACCGTGCCCTAGCAGGGATGGCCCTGTTTTGGGGACCCCCCAGCCTCGGGAGTGTCCCAGCACCAGGGACACCCTGGTTTTGGAGCCCCAGCCCTTCCCGGGGATGCCCTGGGAAGCCCAGCTCTGGGATGCCCCAGTTTTGGGGATGCTGTAGGGACACCCCCCCCCCATCCTCACCTGGGAGTGGGGGTGCTGGGGGCG